AGAAAGTCTAAATTCTATTTAACCCATACTTTATACCACTGATTCACACTATTTGGAATATTATTGAAAAGTTTATTAAATATGACTATAGTAATATTTATAGTAACCTAATTACATGCCAGGAATTACACTGTTTGTAGACATTAACTCATTTAATCCTCATAACCATCTATGTCATAGATACCATTATTGTTTCTATGTTGCAAATATAAAACTGAGGCGAGGCCCTGGGATATTTAAGTAATTTTTCCAAATCAAACAGCTAGGAAGTGGCAGAGACAGGATAGAACCCAGAAAGTCTGGTTCCACAGTCCAAAACTTGAACCAATATCTGCTGTTCTATGTAGCAGATGTAAGAAAGCACAATTTATTCTCTGTAAATTTCATTTGAAGATAATAACACAATATTAGATATATTGTGTAGGGAAAGGGGGAAAGAACTGAAAATGTGGTCTACTAGTTTTACTGTTTTGGGTTTTCTTTCTTTCTTTCTTTCTTTTTTTTTTGTTTTTTAAGAAAATCAACTTTGTGTCTACTGAACTAAAATCACTACATTAGGATTTAAACTGCATATAAAACATCCATAATTCGGGTTGTCAGAGACCCTGGGTCTCTGTTACCAGGTCAGTAGATGTGAAATATACTATGGATACATGACAGTTACAAGCAGCACATGAAACTGTCAAAATGACACAGGTGGATCTACGAAATATTTTGACTACAGCGAAAAAATTGCTAGACAGAATGAAATATATAATAGAACCATTAAATTAAAAACACATGCATGCAGTATTAAATAAACATTTTATAATAATATTTATGAAAAATAACATAAAATGGTTGCTTTTTAGTGTATGAAAATGGCAAATGGATTTGGGGTTAAAGCGAAAGTAGGTATGTAAGAAAATATATAAACTAGGTCAGAGCTTTGTGTGGCTCAAAGATGGAAATGTGCCATGAATTGAGGCAAATGAGTAATTCATCTCTTAAGACTCAAGACACTTAAAAATATATATAACAAAGAAAAGAGAGAATAAAGGAAGAAAGAACAAAAGAAGAGATGGGAGAGAAGAAAGAGAATGAGAGAAAGAGGAAAAAAGGATGGACAAATCTCAATTACTTGAAAAATCATATTATCCCAAATATTACAAATAACTTGTTTTAAAAATTATATGTACAATTTTTCATTTAAATTTTAATAAATATTCAGTAAAGTTTGCCAAATTCATTGGAATACATTTTCTTTTGAATGGCAATGTACATATTTATAAAATCCAAGTAATGAACCCTGTCTCTCTAGCAAAGAAATCAGGACACAAAAAACCTAGTTTTTCTTTCTGCTAGGATAAAGATACATGGCTTAGGATACACCAAACAGACTGGCAAGATTTTGATTCAAATGGTCAAGTTGAGGAACCAGGTTCTTCATGAAGGTTTCATTTTTAGCTTTCTGCTGGTGAAGTTGGAAGCAAAACATGAAGATTTTGCTAGTGGCAGTACTGATGATTTTTCGGTAGTTGCACGTTTGAGACCCACGGGTAGCAATTCTACTAGTGGCAGTAGCAATTGCAATAAATTGTTTGACAGCTGCAGTGGCAATGTTTAGCTTCATCAGGCCAGATGTGTGGTAGAGTTTTAGGCATTGCTCCAGGAAACTTAGATTCTACTCTTTGAATCTATTCTTCTCAAGGAATCTATGAACCACTTAATATCTCTTATTAATGCCCTTTTCTGTTTCAACCAGCCATAGTAGATTTTGTTTGCAACTAAGAAAACAAACAAATATGCCTAGGGCAAAAAAAATTTATTAAAAACTTTAAAGATCTATGTATAGGAAAATATAATAAAAGCACACTATTTTGTGAGCAGATAATGAAACTTTCAAAGTTACTGCTTTCGATAGAATTTCTAATTTTTATACTATGTGCTGATATGTCCCTCTCTCTCTCTATGTACCTATCTATCTAAAAAGATATATTTTAGATTCCCTAAAAGAATAAAACAGAAGAACTATAGAAATGTTTTCATATAAATAAATCTAACTACTCTTTTGGCAAAGAAAGATTATTGTGTTTAAGTCAATTTTTTGAAAGAATGTATTGTATAGGAAAGATATTAAAATACTAGAACACTTGAAGAACCCAATGAATTTTATGCCATTTCTAAGTTTAAGAGTTTAATAATGCACAATTCTCATATCCAATATTTTATATCCTTTGCAATTCGATGTCTAAGAAATCATTATACAATTAATGTATTCACATTTTATTTTCCTATCATTTTTCCCTTTCCTATAGCCAGTGTACCTTTACTTTCATGTAACATCTACTTTTTTTCTTGCTCTTCCCACTTTCCTGTATGTTTATTTTGCTTGAGCAAGAAAATTATCACAACAATTTAAAAATACTTTCCTCTCGATCTCAGAACCATAACCATATTTTACAAGAACCATAAATTTGAATTAATTCTACTATTTGCCTTTATCTTAAAACTTTGTAGTTTGACTTGACTATTAAATTACATGCAAAAAAAGTAACATTTAAATTCAGATTCCTTCTTCAAAAGCAAGATGGTAGACTCCATAATGACATATGAGAAAATGCTTAAATACTATATGAATATCTATAAATTAATCATTTAATCACTACTGTTTTATAGACTATCAGCCAGGTTAACTAACCAATTTCAGTTCAGTTCCTAGCTTAATGCAAAATTTTCATCATGAACCAATAACTATTTTTTTTTCTTCTTGCACTTTTTGAATCTGGACAGTTCATACATGTATTGCTGTCTACAAAAACAAACAAACAAACAAACAAATGAACAAAAAACATATCAATCAGAAAATGCCAGGACAACTGTTGAGGCCAATTACAAATTCAAAATAAATTATTTCAGAAGGAAATGCATTTCTCAGAAAACAATTCTTACATGAGTATGAAATTAAAGTTAAATTCTGCTAAAAGAAGTTTTATATAAAAATCAAATGAGGTACAGATAACCTTCTTCAATATAATGTTTAAAAAATATTCAGACATTAAAAACTACTAAAAAACACAGTTTCTGTGATGTTGGTACTTGAGTGTTCAGTAATGATGGCACTAAAACACTTTTTAGGAAATACTCAAAGTATACAAATTTTGTGGAATTGAGACTTAGTTGGTCTGTAATGCTGATACTTAGACAAATTTTAGATTTAGATTTTTTTTTTTTTTTTTTTGGTAAGTTTGCAGGATTTTACACTATGCACTGAGAGAACTTGGAAAAAGGCAGCAACCAAAAGTCAACAAAATGTCTGTTCCAAATACAAATGTTTGTTTTACATGATAGCCATTCCTTGACCAGCTGGATGAAAACTAATGTTTCTTGGTATTTAAGGTATTCAAGGTCCAAATAACACACTTCAGAGTCTAAGCAGGCCAGCAAGTCAAAGACAACTAGAGCAAATATTTATTGAGCACACCATTTAAAAAATAAACAGTCATTTCCTGTATCTAGCTCGTCAAAGGAATATCTTTCAAGGAAATTAAGGTTATGCAAGCTAGAAAATGTTTTCCCAAAGAACACATCTCTTAGTGTTTGTTCAATATTCTTTCAGTATGGTAATGCAAGACTCACATGTAGAACAAAGTAAGGTTGAAAGATGTTGTATAAAAAACCTGAATGCATAAGTTTAAAGTCATTATTTTTCTGATATGGGAAGGCAATTCACATTTACTTGTGAATCTCGATACTATGATGAAACATCAACGTATGCCAGTATTGTCTGCAGCTGAGTCCACACAGAGGGAAAAATTAATTTTCACTATTCCTGTCCAGCTCTTCAGTACTTCTTTTAGTTCTATCTTACATTAGGGAGTATATGGAGAAAAATATATACACATTCCCTCATCAACCCCAAAATTCCTACAAACTTATACTAACATTATATGAACTAATTCTAATTTGATTCATCAAACACATCCTATTTCATTGTTAGTCTGGTGGCAAGGATGTCCTCATCGACTAAAGCCCACATAGGGTACTAATGAGTTGACATGCTTACTGCACCCCTGGACTGTGAGTTGAGGCCAGGCAACAGAGGAAAGTTACAATATTTTGGTTTGTAATACCTTTATCTTCCCCTCCCAGATATGCGTTGTTGGATAAAAACAAGTAATAAATTACTCTTAGGCTTGGAGTAATTCTTTCCACATAGTAGGTTGAATTATTAAATCAGCCATAGTTTATAATTTTACCAGAAAAGAAGTCTTCTAAAAATCTGCAAGAAGGTTTTTATAAATAATGATTAATGATTTGCTTAAAAATGAATATTTGAGGGAAACATATAGGGGAATTTTTAGCTCAAACAGGACGGTATGCCCTACTCCCTAATAATTACTCCTTAATTCCAAGAGTCCCATATGGAACAGAGATATATTTTCATGGGGTTGTATAATAGTTCATAGTTATTCTAATTTTCAGAAATGGACTTATTAAAGAAAAAATTCATTCCATGCATTTTTGTTATAGTAATAATAGGAATAATAAGAAAAGACTGTTAAAATCTGCAGAGAAAATTCAGCTGTGATACCAAGCAAGCAAACAAACAAGCAAATAAAATCTGCCTGATTACATGTTAAATTAACAATTAAAAAAGAAAAAAAAAAAAAAACTTCAAACAACACAGCAAAAAATGTAGATTTCTGCTATAAAATTGCATTGTGTGAAATTATGCAAGATAAAATTTTTTTCTGCAAATGGATTTGATCCAAAAAGTATTGTTAATGGAAAAATTCAATTAAAACATATCTTCTTTTTTGGCTGTGGATGTATGTCTGTTAAGAAAGCTTTCATTTATTTAAAACTTAAAAGATCATTTTGAAATATGTTATACTTTCAGTCCTGACCTTCTGATGGGAAGTTTTCTCCCAGATCCTAGTCAACTCAGCCCTCAGCTGTGCAGATAACTGACAGAACTAGTCCTAAGACACACAGTTTGATTGGGTAATGACACTTACCTGCTTGATTTGTGGTTACATTTACAGACACATACTGCCGGGCTCCTGGGCTCAGGTCGGACACTCCATTCACTGCCTCAATCTCAAAGGTATAGTTTGTGTGAGCAAGCAGATCCACCATCATGACAGAGGTATTTTTCAGGCCGCCTTGCCGGGGCAGGTACCTGACATGACTGCCACACTCCTCACACACACCTGCATGGGAGTTGCACTTCTTGCATGCAATATAATATGACACATCTTTCCTTCCACCAGTGTCAGCAGGCGGAATCCATTCCAGAAAGACACTAGTCTCATTAATATTTGAGATGGCATTCCGAGGAGCAGAGGGGGGTCCTGGTTTGCAAAGTGAGAAAAACATACTTTAAGATGATATTAATTAGGTATCATTTACCACACCAATCCCTAGTCTGGAGGAAAAAAAAATAGATTTGCAATCAATCTTTTAAGCATAATTTGTAGTTATCTTTGAAAAATCTTCTACAGTTTTGTGGGCACGACAATGGGAGTTATGCCTATAGAAATGTCTTATCTTGACATTTTTATAACACTAAGTTCAATAAAAGCAGATATTTTTCTTAGTGCACACAGAAGTAATTATGGAGTAAAACTATGTATGCACAAATGATTTTAGATACAATTGTATATTTTAAAAGTAGTAAGTGAATCTCCTTGGGATTGAACTGATTATTTCCACATTGATATTAGGCCCTGCAACCTCGGAAATAAAAGCATGAAGATCTACTAAGCAATGAGCGCAGGTAAAAAGATTATTTTTCAGTATGGCTCTTGACTATAAATTCTGCAGCAAGTAAAAACACAGTCTTAGCTTACCACAAAGTAGACTGCATATCTACTTGATAAATCACCAACAGAATTTGAAATACTCTCTTGTATGTCAAGAAAGCCATAGGATATAAGTAGTTGGTCAAATCTGCAGTAAAACTCTTAATACTTTGATATTGCTTTTCATATTATGGTTCCACAAATTATGAAATTTCCTTAAATGAAAATCTGAAACTTATTTAGAAAATAACCCTCAAAGTCACTACAACAGGAAAAATAAAGTGTTCAGATCGTGGAGGATCAGCAGAACAAATTTCAATCTCCAATAACCCATCACAATAAGGATAGGTATACATTTAACTAAAATATGTTCATAGAATCATAGCATCTTAGAACATTACTAGCGCAACTTTTCTAACTTCATAATGTATTCCCTAGATACTTTATTATTTTATCCATATGTTAATGGAAATTGGGTGTAATTTAAAAAATATATTAGAATCACCTAATTTCAATAAGATGGAATATTTCCACTAAAATTTTAGTAATGAAATCCAGATTTAAAATTTCCTAAAATATTTCTCAGGTAAAAGGCAACAATATGTTATTTGTATATTATTTTAACTATTTCCAAACCCAATAATCAGTATACTAAAGATAACTAAAATAGATTGCATAATGACTAACTCTGTAGTCAATTTTTAGATACTTAGAGTTAAAACTTCAACCAGCTGTTACTATTATAGGATCAGATATTTTCAAAGCGAAAATATAATTGTATCTGTTTCAGAGACTTAATTAGTACATCTCTCCCTACAGGGAATAAAATGGAGTGTGGTGGTAGTCAAATGGTTCATAAGCATAAATTAAGATACTTAAGATGATCTTGCTTAGTTATTCTAATATGCATTATTTGTCCTAAATATAAAAATTAGCATTAATTTCTACCTAAATTTATTAAGTCAAGATTGTTGAGAACTAAATTTAAAAGTAATTAGAAAGCTACCTAGTATTTAACAATTTAGCTGTACAAAATGCCATTTAAATGAAAGAACCCCATAACTAAAGAGCTGACATTTTTTTCCAAAACTATCCCCACATTAACTATATGTATGGTTGAACCTTATGAATTTTTCTAAATGTACGACCTTACACACCTCAATGTAAAATAGTCACTTTTAAGTTGAAATGATTCCTTAATATGGAAATATGAGTACTATAAACTTGAGTTATTTAAAGTGGAAAGTTATGGAGAAAATGTAATTTGAGATCAAAATGTCACAGGCTTAACATCTGAGAAAAAGTTACAGACAGCCAAAATATGTCTGGTTTAGAAAGATGTCAAATTTCTGATTTTTTTTTCCTGCCAACTGAAATATACTTGCATTTAACACCTTTCCTATAAACCTATAAAAATGCATCAGAGTCTGACTATTCCATTCCTTTTGACTCCACTACTAACAGCTCCACAACATTTGGATGGGGGTACATATGCCTCTAAAGTCAAAATGAAGCAAACTCAAGGGAATCCCTAAAGTAGAGGCAAAATGTAGAGTCTTATACTAACATGCACTTAAAAAAATATAATGAAATTCCACTGCCCCAGTAACAGGTATGATATATGAACCAAAGAAGAACTGTGACAAAGACCCTTGATTTAAGCAGATTAATCAGAAGCTTGGTTTTTATTTTTGTTTATTTTTTTTCCTGTAGATATAAACAATTCTGCTTCCCAGATTAAAAAATATATACATATATACATATATATATAGGAGTTGAACTATAAATTCAATTTCAAAGAGCAAAAGGGAAAGTGAGGCTAAAGATCTACATTTGAGCATCAATCAAGCCGTATGGGGTGCAGTATTTGTGGTACTATGAATGCAACTAAAAACAGACTTACATACTTGGAAATTATATATTAGAAAAATTTTATACATGCGTCCCAATAGCCTTTTCTGAGAAATGCATACATTCTTTTGAGACACAGTATTAGAAATTCACACACCTGGAGACAGAGAAAATGTGAAGCCTGCCTGTGGGCTTTGGTACTAAAAGAGTGCTAAGCAGTCCTTGCCACCAAAGCACAGCCTCCTTGTCCCCTGCCATTCTCAAATCTAACAAATTTACAGAAAGGGAGGCTCACATTTATACTGAAAAAGAGAAAGATTATGGCTGGACCGCTTAAAGAAAATACTCATCAGAAAATTAATCAAGACGTTTTTCTTTCCTTAATTTACCACTCTATTGGTAGCCAACATTTTTCCTTGTTAACTGTTTATATCTCCACTGTAACCAAAATGCATTACATTCAGTCATAGTTTATATATCCTGCATTTAAATGAATCATCCTCAAAATGTATATAATAATGTCACTTATTTTTTTGAAGATAGATCGTTTTTCACTGGTAATCATTTAATTCATAAAATCATCGGTACTGGGATTGAAGGAATGATCTTCAGTAATGGAAAGCTGATTAATATCAATGATTTGACAAATTCTGAAAATATGTTTCACTGACACTATGAAATTTAGACATTACAAAATTCATATGAAATTTCAATTTGTGATTATTTGATAAAAAGGAATCTGCGCTTTTTATATTTAGAGATGAACACTAAAATATCAGACATCTTTGTGACTATCTCTGAGAGCAACTACAACTTATTGGGACCTAAAATAGTAAAACAAGGCAGGTCATAGAAATTGAATATTATGAGGAGCAAGGGATTTACTTTCAGTCCCTTTCACTTTCTGTTTTTGTTTGATTTGCCATAGAGACTTTGCCTGTGGAAAAACTCTGAAAACATTGTCATCAAGCAAACAAATACACAGAAGTGTTACAGTCCCAGAAAAATATGAAAAACTAGAAAAACAAAAGCACCAACAACAATGAGAAATGTGGATACATCCACTGCAAATATTGAAATTAAATATTTAATATTAATCACTATACCTATATAATCAACAAATATGTCATTAATAATAGTTAAGGACACTCACTAGCAAGAAACATGACAGCTGCTTGAAAATCCTAGCTAAAACATTGGTTTTAGATATGACTTTTGAATCTGACTTTTAATGCCTAGTTCTCCACATTCTTCAAGTGTTTCCTGTCTTCTCTATATAAATGACCTTCTCACTGGCCCTTGCAGCTTAGTTGGACAGGTTAGAACAAGAAGGTGAAGGTGTAATTTACTGCATAATTATGTGATCAGAAAGCTAGCTTAGGAAGAAGAAGAAGAAAAAAAAAAGGTTTAGAATGAACAGGAAGTGGATTTATCAAAGTCATGTTTTGCTATCATTATCATTATAATCAACCACAAAATAAAAGGAAAAATATATTTATCTGTGTCTCAGATGATGAATTTTAAGTTAGGGAAAATGAATGCTTCTAACAGTGAGTGATAAGAGTCAAATTTTTCAATGCTTACTCAAGGAGCTTGAAATTTGGTGAAAGGTATATTGAGAAGATTAAACACTATGCCTGTTTTAAGGGGAAATGTTAACAGAATTTAACAGGCTCCATCATGCTGTTTTTTTTTTAAAGTGGTGAAAGTCAGCATCACCAAATATCCATGGGTTTCCTTACTTGTGCATGCCATTGTGGGTGGATCAGACTCCCTCCTGAAATAATCCTTTTCACAGACACAAGAGGTTGAAGCTTCCTCATGGGTATAACTGTGAGGTGGACATTTGCTGCAGCTCTGGCTGTGAGGTGAGGCTTTGAAGAACCCAGGTCTGCACACTGTCAAAAGAAATAAGAGACTAAGCTTTTCCCTGGAACAGATGCAGTGTTTGTTTTGTGAATAATGTTATTATTTTGACTAGTATACACAGATTACAAATAACACAATCTTTGCATCAATTTCAAGAATTTTTCATAAGCTTCTGGCTCATAAATAACAGTCTATTCATTCAGACAATCAAGTATTTATTTAAACTATTTAAATTAAACATGTATGGAATGTACATATTTTAAATGACTGTTATGCTACAGGAACTTATAAGAAATTATATTTATAAAAGGCAAATACTTATATGTATTTAAAACTGAAGCAATGCTTTGAGTGCAATTTTCACTTGCTTGATAATTAGTGCAACTGTGTTGATGAAATGCAATTTATCCCATATATCCTAGAATGGTATAGTACACAATAGGTGCTCAAAATTTTGATACTGAATTCATAAATAAATTAATTAGTAGGTGTTTTTGCTTCACAAATTCTGTTAGATTGGGGAGAATCCATAAATGAGCTGGTATATCATCCACATCATATTGATTTCAGGAGGAGTCAGATTCTAGGCATTTGTTTCACATTTTACTCCTTTGAAAATTTTGCTTTAAGATTCTTACTGATTCAACACTTATCTATTCTAACATCAGAAATTCTTGTACTATACAATTCAGAGTGATCAACAAAGGGTGAAAATTATGTTTTATTCAGTTTTGCATTCACAGTACCTATCTCAGCTTTTACCACAATACATGGTCAAAAAGTGTTTGAAATACAGGTATGAATAAATGGCATGACATGAAGGTCACAACTGAACTATTTAGAATCACACAAAGAAAGTGTTCCCTGATATTTTTGCTAACATTTCTAAGTTGGTGGTCAGGTAAATAAGTGCTCATGAAGTAAACCTTTTGATTCTGTGGATTCTTTAGACATTTATCACATTCTTTCTTCTCAGTGGCTAATGAAGCCAAACTTTAACATTACAATTGCTCAGTATGGGCCACTTAAAGACCAACAAACTGATGGTTTGAATACTTGTTAGGGCCAACTATATATAAAGCTAATAAACTTTATTTTTTTTCCTATTTTCAAAATTCACCAATATACTGAAAAGTATTTATTCAAGCATTAATGCACATTTGCTGAAGCTCAAAGATGAACTTGTATTTCAATAGAAATTTTTGATAGACATAATGAATTGGGACAAATTTTCATGTGCTATAAATGATTTCAGGTTTTAGTAATCCATGTTAAGGCTCTCTGCCATCACCGTGAAAAACCAGGAATTGGCAAAAATGAAAAGGTACTTTTTTTCAGTAGACCTAATTAAAGTGATAGTAAAGCCTTAATGCTCTTATAAATTCAGAGAGAATGTGAAGGTATTTGAAAGATAAGACAAGCTTTTTGATAGTATTAGGGACATTCTTGTAGTTAAATGATTAGGAGAAGATTTAAATTATTATTTTTCTTATAATAGGATTGCTGTAGCAGTGAATACCATACTTAGCTAAGTTATTCAATTTTTCTTCTTTTATCCTTTTAGTAAAACCATTCTCACTTTAAACACTATTTGCTTTCAAAGACATGAAATGTCAATCTACATGTTCTGTGTATTTGGAATTCAGTTATCATTTATGAAACAAAAGACATTTCTTTTTAATGAGTGCCTTCTAACTTAAAAACTTTATATGATACCAAATATAACACTGCTGTTCAAACCCCTCATGGGAGCTTTGAAAATAGGAAATAATATAAATGTAAGTAAAAAGTAGATAACTATTTTCCTGTTCAGTCGGTCAATAAAATGCTTTCAGCAGATGTGGTGAGCTGGAAATTCTGCTTGGTACTGAGTTACAGAAGTAAACAAGTAGAAACGGTCTTGCCTTCATGAGTCTTAAAGATATTGCATGAATAATTATAAATATAATTATGCTAGGAAAGAGAAAGAGCTATGGGAGTAAAAATAGACACCTAATTTAAACTGCAATATCAAAGAAGACTTCCCTCAGGAAACTGAGTCTCTGCTGAGATTGGAAAGATTAGGAAAATTATCCAATTTGAGTAGGAGTGTAGCAGAGCCTTAGAGGGAAAATGCTTTCGAAGGACCATGTGAAGTCGAGGACAAATAGGGAGATGGAGGAAACTAAAGAATTGATCAGGAAGATAGTAGTAAAAGATGGAAGAGATGGATTTTTATGGGCAGAGAGCACCAGATCACAAAAACCTTATAGGCTTTAATAAGTATTAGAAACTTCATAGGTAGAGGAGGTCATTGCAAAATTTTTCCTGCTAGCTTTTTAAGGCATAATTGTCACATTAAAATTATATATATTTATGGTAAGTGTAAAGTTTTTAGCAGGGAAATAAGGAGATCGAAGTGGTGTTTAAGAGATCATTTCACAGCATCATAGGCAATGGATTGGAGAAGAGCAAGAAAGGAAGTTCTTTCATTTCTGTTGAATTTGCCCAAAAGAGACACTATTACTTACCAAGAATGGTTCCAATGGTGATAGATTGAGTAGGTAAATTCAAGAAAATCATCTAGTTTTCATGATATTTTTAATGGGTCATATGAGTGAGTGCAAAGTTATAAGAATGACTCTAAGGTGTTTGGCTTAAACAGCATAGAATATATAATATACTGGTGCCATTTTCTCAGATTAAGAACACTAGATATGAAAAGTGTTTTGGGGAAGTTGATGAGTAATGATTAAGGCATTATTTAATGCGAGTGGCTAAAGAATTCCAAATAGATGCTGAGAGAGGAAGAATGTGCAGTTCAATGTTATCCAAGAAAAAATATCACAAACTAATTATCCATTGCTTTCACATTATGTCCCCAATTCCCAACAGGACATACAACTGTGTTGCACAATCTTAGTATTATTCCCTTAGTTAACGCTGTTTCCCAACATCAACATAATTATCTTGTAGCTTCCACTCTTTCTTCAAACTCCACACAAGCTTTATTCTCTGTTGCTATCAAGTGATGCATTAATTTGTCTGTGTACTGAGAAAATAGAAGTCATGAGAGAGGAAGTTTCTCATTTTCCAACCACCAAATCACCAAACCTATACACAATTATACCCACCCTCTCTAATGTTCTTTTTGTTAAAATGAAAATGTATCCCTCCTCACACAAAGGGTCTTGAAAAGATTCATAGAAAGTGTTGTATTACCTCTTAATGCCATTTTCCACCAATCTTTTAAAGTACACTTGTATCAAAGAAAAATATCTTTACTTGAATTAGGAACTCCCTCTGCTCTCTGAGATGGATCCTCCAAGTGTCTACAATTGTTTTGACAAGCTCAGAAACAAAGCAAAACAAAACTATTAACCGCACTTGATCCCAATTCTGCCCGTAGCTACCAAATAGTTTTGTGTCACCTTCAGAACACAATTTATTTAATTATGTTTCCTTATGATGCATCTCCAGTTCCTCACTTGAAATCACAAGCTGATATACTCCACTCCACTGAAATAGCTCACTTAAACTGCTTTTGTTAAGATTGCAGTTAAGGTTGTTTTCAGCAGCATTTGGCCTTTAGGAAACTCCAGTTAGCTTCGTTACAAAATGCTAGCACAGCCCACAAGTTTCCACACAATATTTAAAAATCCTTCGAATGTGGTATCCTACCACACTCCCAGTCTCCATTCACACAGACTAATTATTTCCTGCACTTGAGGAACTCCTTTTCCCAGACTCTGAACTCTGCAGGAAAACTATTTTCAGCCTTAAGTCAAGAAGTATAAAGAAATAAACAATACAATTTTTTTAAAACAAAAAAGTTGTAGCCCATAATAAGGAACTTGAATTTAATCTGAAAGCATTTGGAAGACAGTGTGGGTATCACCTATGTTTTGAGTGCACACTTTGTGTCAGGCACTGTAGCAAGGCAGGTTTGGATTGTGCTGAGAAAATAAAAATTGTTCTTCACACCCATGAAGCTACAAAGTATTTGGGGAGAAAGAAAATAAACAGGGTGTGAACAATAGAAGCAAAACTGATTGTATTTTTTTTTTACATTTTAATCATAAGGATACTTAACAAATAATTGTTTAGGCAGTAGTAAAATTTCCATAAATTTTAACTCAATGTATTTCATCCAAAAATAAAGAAACCTTCTGAAGCAAAGTTGTTTCACATGATCCTGCACATTACTTAAGTATTATTTGGAAAACATTATGCAAGTTCATTTAAATTGGGCAAAGAGTAGGAGACAAAAAATGCACCTTATGTTAAGATGTTTTATGAGACTATTTTGGCAATTCCCCAGAGGGAAGGAAACTATATTTAGTAATTATTTTTAATCCATGCTTGAGGGATCATTGTAAATGCTACCTTTTCCACAATGCATGCGCTAATCCCCAAGGCTGCATGTTCTTTCCCTACTCACCTTTTAGACCTTGGAACCATTTATTCAGCATCTCTCTTATGACAGATAGCACCTTTTTGCTATAATATTTATTTGTATGATTTCTCATCCTCTCTCAACTCATATAAACACTCTAAAGAATAGAAAGTGTTCATTTGATTTTCATCACATGTAGCATGGTTTTTTGTACTGAGGATATATTCATCAGTGTTTATTTGTGTAAATAGTACTTTTGTATCCTTCTCAGGGTCTAAATGACACATCAGGAACTTAATACAAGTTGATTACACTAAATTATTTAAATATTAAGTCCCAATAAGTAAAAAATAATATGAACTCAAGTCAACACTCACTACTTTAGAAGTTTTGCACAAACCAATAAACTTTAGCTTTCATATCTATCACCTCTAAACAAGGATGATAATGTCTATTAAAATATAGTTTTATAACTAACAGAAAAACCTTGTCATAAATATTCAAGTGAATAGAAATTGTCACTTATGAATCGTGAAAAGGTGCTGCATACTCTGATTAGGAATTTTTAAAAGATCCTCAAAATTACCAAAAAATATTAAAATGATAATTTGGATTGATTTCTCATACTGTTTATTTTTAATTAAATTACTCTTG